TCCATCTCCTCACTTTCCTCTATCTTCTCTCCTCTTTCCTCTTCCGTCTCTCTCCCCATCTCCTCTCTGCATTCTCTCACCTCCCTCCTTCTCTCTCCTCTCTCCTTTCTCTATCTCTTCTCTCTCCTCTCCTCCTCCCCTCTCACTGTCTCCTTGCTCTCCTCTCTCTTTTCTCCTCTCTCTCCCCTCTCTCTCTTCTTCCCCCTTTCACCGTGGAATGTGCGTGACTGTGTGCATGGGCAGGCACTGTCTCCCGTGTGTGCACATGTGGAGGCCGGAAGCTGATGTCAGCTTGCTTCTACCTCTCTCCACCTTGTTCTTTGAGACAGGTCCCCCACTGAATCGACTGACTGGTCCATGAGCCCGAGGGATCTGCCTGTTTCTGTTTTGGCACTTTAACACACCCCCAAGCTGTCTCACCAGCCCTGTGGTTATTCTTCTAGATTCTGATTTCTCTACTGACTATCTAGAGACAATGTAATAGACTACAGGAGGAAGAAATACAGTGGATTCTGACGATTATATGGGCCTACTTCAACTTGACTTCATCTGCCTGGGCATTTGGTTCCTAGTATTCCTACAATTGAAGTTCAATTTGAGGAGTCAGGCCCTAATGCAAGAGTTATAGATGAAAATCCATCACTCATGTTCCTGGAAGCAAACCCAATTAAACTAATTGGACCATGAAAAGAACTAAACACATGAAAGCAGGAAGGAGCCGGTTGGGAAGAGGAAGGGGTTTGGTGGGAGTGAACGGGGACAAGAGAGGGTTAAGGGGGTTGGGGTGGGAATATAATCAAAGTGGACTTCACGCTTACGAAAACATCATAATAATAATTACTATGAGCAAGTACTGTATACTAACAAAAAGTTTAAAATACCCTCAGGTGAATCCATTTCTAAGTACATTTACAGAAGCTGTGTGTGGTGGACCATACCTGTCATCACAGCACCGCAGAAGCAGAGGCAGGAGGATTGCTGAGAGTTCCATTCCAGCCCCACCTACATAGTGAGATCCCATCTCAAAAATATATCCCTTCCAATATATTTATATTTGTAATGAGGCAGAGAAATCTACTCAAGATTTGGGCCATTGCATGGCAGCGTATTTGTCTCCTACTGTGGGAAAGAGCTGCCTATTAATAAATATTTTACTCAAGTGTCTTTAAATTGCACTTGAAGGGTTTACCAGCACTTTTATGTGAAGCAAGCACATCTCCATTCATTAAAAAATAAAGCCCCTATTCATATGACAAGGAGGGGAGAATGTTTTCCTACCCCTTTTCATTAAGGAAGCCACAAACATAACAAAAAATAATGAAAGAAAAATAAAAGGAGCCATCCCACCAGCCTGGGGAGGGGTGGAGCAGCTGCAGGGAATGCCTGAAGGGTGCCAGAAATCCTTACTGTTATTTTCCAAGACCTTGATTACTTACTGGACTAAGAAAGCAGACAGTTCTGGGTTTTGTGTTTCTGGTTTTATTGTCCTACATAATTTTGTGTGGGGCTGTTTGGGGCTGTGTGGGGCTGTGTGGGGCAGGTGGTCTATCCTATTTTTGCAGTCCAGAGTCCTTCCCACCCGGCCAGCAAGGTCAGAATGGCTGCACATGTCTTCATGTTTCTCAAAGTCTTCAAATGCTCCATTCCTCTTTCAATCATTTTCAGTGATTTGGTTGGGATTGAACTGCCCTTTCTCCATGTGACCTGTAACAAGATGACTTCAATTCTACAAAAGACAGTTATGTAGGAGGGAGGGGAGTGTGGTTGAAGATAAAAGTTTCTGTTCTGCCTGGTCCCGCAGCCATTTAGTCCCAAGTAAACCATAGAGGCTTATACTAATCATAAACTGTTTGGCTGATGACTCAGGCTTCTTATTGGCTGTCTTAATTATTAACTCATTTCTATTAATCTAAGGATTTCCATGTGGTCTTAGCTTACTGGAGAATGCCTGGTATCCTGCCTTTTCAGTAGCTACCTGACAGTTCCCTTGAGACTCTCTCTCTCTGTCCTCTTCCCAGAATTCTCCTAGTGTGGTAGCCCTGCCTATACTTCCTTCCTGGCTATTGGCCAGTCATCATTTTATTAAACCAATAAGAGAAACATATATTTAGAGCATACAGAAGGACCTCCCCCATCATGTGGTGATGTCCTAGCAAGTGCCTAGCTCATTTCTAAAAACACGTATCTGAACCTACAGAAAAAAAAAACCCTCAGAAAGATGTAACCGGTTGTTAGAGAACAAATGTGACCCCTATCCCTGCCACACATACCATGTCCTCCCGTCTCCCTTCAAATCATCACTGTTTGCTTTACCTTTCTTTGTTTTTTGGACATAAATTATTATTTCTCGGAGGATTGTGTCTGTTTACAATGTATTTTGGTCATTGTTTTCCCTTTTTAAAAGACAGAGCCTCCCGACTCTCACAAGGTTGGGCTGTGTTCCTGAAGAACATGGATGTCTGGAGGGACACTTAAACTTGCCATTTTAAAGCATTATCAATGTTTTATTTGTAAGAAAGCAAAAGTACCAGCCAGGAGCATGTTTTATAAAAAGTATCGCTGTTTAAATGAAAATTTAGGGTATTATTAGGAAGAATAAAAACAAAGCAAAAAATTACTCAGTCGCTTTCTAGCAACACAGGATGGTGAGGAGGCTCTGTGGGTAAGGACACTTGCTGACAAGCCCAAAGACCCAAGTTCTATTCCCAGAATCCACATGGTGGAAGGAGAGATTCAGCTCCCAGAAGATGGCCTCTGACTTCCACATACACATAGAGCATATTGCAGTTATCATGGGCACCTGAGTACACTCCCAACAAATAAATGTAACAAAGGGGAAAAAATCTATCATTATAACTGTCTATAGGCTCATCACAGAAGCACTATGGAGGGATCTATACCTAGGCAGATCACTGATTTCTTCTAAGCCTGTGTTTTCTGAAAATTTTGTTACATAATATACTAAGTTTGCTGCTGGAAATTGTGTTCAATATTTCAAGATGTATATGGAGACTGGCTTGGTTGGGCTGTGCAAATGTGGGCCAGGGGGCAGAGTCCTATGTGCTAATGTAGACCTTCAGGTCCCATTGTGCCAGCCCCACATAGTGGCTAATGAAACTCGATCTGCTGCCATTCTGGAATAAGCAGTGTCAAATCATCCAAAAATGCACTCTCTCGGGAAACGCCACTTAGCAAATTTATCTAGGTATTTACCTAAATTTGGTGCTGCATTGTAGGCAGATAGGGAGATGGGACCTATGTCTAGAAATGGCAGCAAGAGGAGATTCTTTCACAAAGAAGTATGGTCTAAGGGGTTGGAGATGTAGCTCAGTTGGTAGAGTGTTTGCCTAGCATGCATGCACCCATGGGTTCAATTCCCAGCACCTCATAAACCACTTATAATCCCAGAATTAAGGAGGTAGAAGCAGGAAAGTCAACCAGTTCAAGGTTAGCCTTGGTTACATTGCAAGTTCAAGGCTAGCCTGGGTTATTTGATACCTTATCTTAAAAAAAGAAAAAAGGAAGGAAGGAAAGAAAGAAACAAGTTATAACGTCAATTCTTTGACTTCTATAGCCATTTAGAATTTCCCAGGATGTGTGTTTAAAAGGCACATTGTTTGTGTTCTTCCTCAGGATTCAGACACAGGCCACAGGTGGGGTCCAGAAATTTATTTTAATAAGAACTCTGAAGCCAGGCGTATTAGAACTGTCTGTAGTCCCAGTACCCTGGGGGTGAAGGCCCAGGACCACAGTCACCCTTAGCTTTGCAGTGAGTTTGAGGCCAGCCTGGGCTTCACTATCTGAAAAGAAACAACAAACAATTGGTCTGACTTGCCTGAGTGCTTCTGATGTCATCTGCTCTGAGAAGTGTATTGCAGTTGTCCTGGGTTTTATGGGCTGAGAAGCTCTGCTGCGGCAACAGGAATGACTTCCATGCTGATAGACTTTCCCTCTAGCCCAGTGGTTCTCAACCTTCCTAATGCTGCGACCTTTTAATTCAGTTCCTCAATTTGTGGTGACCCCAGCCATAAAATTATTTCCTTGCTACTCATAACTCTAATTTTGCTACTGTTATGAATTGTAATGCAAACATGTGATATGCAGGATATCTGATGTGCGACCCCTGTGTGATAGAGATATCTTCTGCATATGTTTGTTTAATTGGTTGATGAATAAAGCTCTATTGGCCAATAGGGAAGCAAGATGGGGGAACTAGGAGATGAGGAGGATTCTGGGAAACATAGGCAGAGTCAGTCCTGATGTAGGATGCAAGAGGAGTAACAGGTCTGGATTCCTTCTCTGGTAAGAGAAGACCGTGTAGATACACACAGATTGGTAGTTATGGGTTAACAAATAAGACAGAGCTAGCCAATAAGAAGCCCTCGTCACTGGTCAACAGTATTCATAACTAATATAGCATCCGAGTGTGTATTTGGGGCTCTGAGGTGGCTGTGGAACTGGGCAGGAAATCCTGTAACACCTGTGAAAAGTTGTTGGAGCCCCAAAGCAGTTGAGACCCATAAGTTACAATTTTTGCTTCCTGTTCATTTTCTCTCTCCATGTACTTCAGTTTCCTGGCACAGCTTCTGAGCTCACTTAGCAAACTCTTCACCCAGTTTTCCTTCCCCTCTCCCTGCCCTCCATCCATGCCAAATGGAGCAGCATGCATAAGGCAGACAGCCATATGCCTAGGGAATCCCCCACGGTGGGGGATAATGATGGCTGGTACTTCGCTGGCCCTCATAGTCATAGCTTATATCCAACAAGAACTCTTAGAAAATGTGGACTGTTCACTACCTGGGTGAAATCTCAAGTCCTAAATTTCCAGGTGCCCTGGTAGTCCAGGGAGGGAGGTAATGTGGCTTGGCTTGCCTTGGCAGGGCTCCCTGTAAAATCAGCTCTGTTTTAGGAATGGACAGGATTTCCTTTGCAGACTTATATAGAAGCCGATGAGAATGGGTCTGACCACAAAAGGCATTAAGAGTGCCAACTTCCTGTATTCCAGCTTTGCCAGTTGGGGTACACAGAATCAAGCTGGAAGAAAATAAACCAGCCAGCACCACCTGATCCCAGTAGACACAAATCTGAATTACAAAAGCAGAGTTTGCAGTGGGAGCACTCTTGTCTAAGGAACCCTCTTCAACAGCAGAGGACTGCCATCAGCCACACCTGGATGAGGTAGGGGGCAGGGGTCACTTGTGTCTTCCACCTTCAAGTCTGTCGCAGTGGTGCTGGGCTAGGGCCAGCGGGCCAGCAGTAGTAATAAGGAAGCAACGAGACAGGCCAAATGAATCGGGCTTGGTCAGAAGGTTCTCAATTGGGTTCTGCCCCTTAGTTGAGTGAGTTTTTCCTGGTTTGTTTGAGGCTGGTCTCATGTACCTCATGAGGGTTGAACATACTATATAGCCAGGATGACTTTGAACTCTTTGATCCTCTTGCTTCTGCCTCTTAAGAGCTTGGATTACAGATGTGTGCAAACCATCCCCTGTTTTTGTGGTGCTGGGGATCAAACCCAGAGCTTTATGCATACTAGGCAAGTACTCTATCAACACCCCCAACCCTTAAATGGACTGGTTAGGCAGAGCATTCAACCTGTAAGATGCAAACAGCACCACACAGTCCGAAGCTGGCTAAGACCATGCATTCGTATTATAACTAGCCCTCTTGGAAAAAGTAGGAAGTTCAGCTTGGTTCGGGATATGCAAACATCTCTATCATGACCCAAACAGAAATACTGAGAGAACTTTTTCTGCATGTTGTTTAGCCACCAAATTAAAGCATCCTTATTTGACTAATATTTAAAGCATAGAAGATGTCTCTACAATCATTTTCCACAAAGTTTTTAGTATTCTCTTTTTTAAAAAATTTTATATGATAAAGTTGAATGTGGTAACTTTATTCTAACACCAGAAGAATTACTAAGAAACATGTCAAAACATGATTTAAATTTTAGTTTGTACCTGGTAAAATGTTCACCAGGCAAAAGCACTGGCTGCTCTTACAACGGACTCAGATTCTGTGTCCAGCACCCATGTGACAGTTCACAGCCATCAGTACCTGCAGTTCCCTGACCTCCACAGACATTGCATGCATGTGCTCATAGACATACATGTAGGTAAAACATCCATGCATGAAATAAAAATAAAAAACTATGTAAGCGTGAGAGTCAGGAACAGTGAGACACAAGTATAATTCCAGCATATAGGAGGCTGGGATTGCCAAAATGTTGAGGCTATCCTAGGTTACATAGTGAGTTCCAGGTTAGTTTAGGCTACAGAGAGAGACCACCTCTCAACATAAAACAAACAGAACTATTTTTTTAAAGTTTGACATTTAAGGTTAGTTTATTTTAATACACATTTTCCCAGAAGAAATGCCCATCCTGCTCTTCCACCCTGTGCAGAACGGGGTGGGCACAAAGCCTCTTCTGTAAGTAAGAAACGGACTTTTCTCAGATTTACTGACGCTAACCTGGTAAGTAATACTATCTAAATTGAGGTTGTACAACACAATGTGTCAGCAAATGTCTTTCCACAATCAAATTAGCAAATCTGTTGTCAGTCAGCTCACATGTTGCTGTGTGAGTTTGTAGCATGTATTTGCATGGTGAGAACACTTAAGACTTACTGCTTAAGGGACAGTAAGGGACAAGAGCACTTACTGTCAAGCCTGGGAACATGCGCACCCACAGAAGAGCTGGGTGGAGACAGGTAGATCCCAAGAATTCGCTGGTCAGCCTAGCACAATAGGTTAGTTTCCGGGTCAGTGAGAGATCCTGTCTCAAAGGAGTAAGGACGAGAGCAATAGAGAGAGCCACTTGACAGCTTCCTTAGGTTTCCACATGCAAACATGGGCAGTACGCCCCCAATGCACACATGCACACTCACATAGGATTTACTCCTGGAGACCCAAAACCACTCTCTTTGTAGAGGATGGTGGTTACTGCAGGCTCACAACTACTCAAAGTGCTGAGTGTGACAATCGCAGAGGTGAGGTTAGGGAGAATGTAAGAGCTGGAGGACCAGGAGGCAGGCTGTGAAATGCTTCCAGACACAACGTGGCCAGTGAACGCATGAACTCACAGCCACTGTTGTTACCTGAACAAGACCTAAGACCTGTTCATAAGACTGGATCAGCCAACACTCTGTCATGGAGAGGACTGGGGAGACCCTCAGGAGGCCCCACCCCTTCCAGGGGAGCTCCTGGCAGTTAATGATTGCTGGAGCAAGGGGAGATGTTTCCTTCGGTAGTGTAGCCACTGGTTAGCTGCTCACATTCCAGTAAACGTCCCCTCAACCGTGATTTCAAGGAAACCTCAGAGATCCCCATGGGGCCAACTGAGCTCATGCATGTACATATATATACCATATATATGTACACACACACACTCATTCACACACACACACACACACACACACACACACACACACACACATACACAGCCATGACAGTCAAAGGGGAACTAAAAAGAGAGATATACTGAAGAGGTAAGAGTATGTATGTACCATTGTCTTATTCAATTTTAAAATTCCAGGTTGAGATAAAAATTGGCAAGTGGGGCCTACTATTGGGGGATGAACGAGTTAGTCCCTGAACACCCTCCCCGTTCATCCCAAGTCAATTATTGAGTATATGTAACATGCTGGGCCCTGGTTGCCATGCAGCAGACAGAGTGAGAACTCTTAAGGAATCCCATCAGTCTTCCTCTTCACCATTCAGGACTGAGCAAGTCCAGCCTCCCTCTGTTGAAATCTTACACTTAGGTGTCCGTTCTGCATGAGTCTGGCAGAAAGCTTGATGAACACTCCCAGGGACACACAGAACAGGATGAAGCTCAGGCACAGGTCCAGGGCTTGAAGTGTCAGGTGATACTCTTCATAGTGGAGTGGATCCACGCAGACGGATGGAAACTTTGTGTATGGGAAAGGAAAGGTAACTGCATAACCAAGATAACCGGTCCCTCCAACCCCTGAGAGGGAGTAGAAGCAATATGGACCGAGGAGGGCAGATTCCAAGGCTATTGCAAAATGAAGGGGACATCCCATAATGCTCAGAATTACAAAGGTGAAGCCAGCTTCCCACTGAAAATAAACAGAAACAAACTATTACTTGGAGGGTAGCTGTTAGCCACTAATGGAAGAGGAGAAATTCACACAACTCCCTTCTCTCATCTAGGTGGAGTCTCGTAGCCTAGGCTGGTCTCATGTTGCCAAGGTTGGCCATGAATGCTTGGTCTTTCCTACTTCTACGTCCCAAGTGTCACACTGGATAACCTCCCACCCCACCCCACCCTCAGGGTCGCCATTTGAAATTTAGACCCCCGGCCTTCTGTATGCTAGACTAGCACTCTGTCACCGAACTCTACCGCCAACCCCCTCAACCCTCCTTTTAGGACCCTTTTCCTTTGCCACCAATCTATGTTACAGGAGGAAATCATGTTAGTCAATCTGAGCTAAAATGAAATCAATTCTATCATACATGGAGTGCCAGTTGGTATTGGGAAAAGAAAGCCAAGTCTTTCTTTCTTTCTTTTTTGGTATTTCAAGACTGGGTTTCTCTGTGTAGCTTTGGAACCTGTCCTGGAACTAGTCTTCCTTCCTTCCTTCCTTCCTTCCTTCCTTCCTTCCTTCCTTCCTTCCTTCCTTTCTTTCTTTCTTTCTTTTTTGGTATTTCAAGACTGAGTTTCTCTGTGTAGCTTTGGAACCTGTCCTGGAACTAGCTCTTGTAGACCAGGCTGGTCTTGAACTCACAGAGCTACACCTGCCTCTACCTCCCAAGTGCTGGGATTAAAGGCATGCGCCACCGCCATCCGGCCTCAGCTTGCCATCTGTAGTTGGGTAGCGCTACATGGCTGAAGCGCCTCTCAGAAAGGCTGCCTTTCAGACCGATCCAGACCTCAGGCAGGGCCTGGCCTTTAACCCAAGGTCCAGCTGACCTGTCTACAGCCTTTGCCACTGAAATTAGACCGAAAGCGGATACTGCACTCCTTCTGTGGCGTGGGAAGAGGTGATTTGGTGCTGTTGAACACAAGCTAGCATGGAGTTCTCATCCTTTCCAGGTCTGAGAGAGCTCAGAAGGGGACCTCAGGCTGAGGAGTTGAGATATGAACCGCTGGGAGTGTAATTCAGTGGGTGGGGCTTTGTCTAGCAGGCACTGAGTCTTGGGTTCGGTCCCACCCCACCACCACCCACACACCATGGGCACTTTCATTGTTTAAACATAAGAGCATGTCATTTTGTTCCTACAACATTAAATTCGGGAGTACTGACGCTGACCCCAATCATGAACTTAGAGAAATTATTTGGAGTAAGAACTGGATACAAAATTATAGATTTTAAACATAGTTTATAAAATTGGGCACATGCCTGTAGTCCCAGAACTTGGGAGATGGAAGAAGGAGGGTTAGAAATTTGAGGTCAGCATCAGCTACATGGCAAGTACAAGGACAACCTGGGATACACAAGACTCAGTCTTCACACACACACACACACACACACACACACTCACGCACGCACGCACGCACGCACGACTGTCAGGCCCACTGTCCCATCCCTGCTGACATTTTTGTATTTACCAAGTATCTCTGGCTCCACTGTCTGTGAGCAAGCAGTACAAGTGCCCCAGCTGTGATGGCCTATGAAAAGAAAATTGGAAAAAAATAACATCCACAATCCAAGGGACCTCTGCAAAGAGTTCAATCCGTCGCACAGCGTGACAACTTTATCACAAGCTAGAAGGCAGGGCAAGGGGTGAAATGGATTTACGGCTCTGATCCCTTCTTCATCTGTGAGAGGAACTGTGTTGACAGGGAGGAAAAGGAGCCATTAGAGTCCTCAGGACATGAGTCACACCAACTCAGTTTCCATTCTCTCTATTGCCTTTGCCGTCAGAGTGGCCCCCTCTGCTCCTGTCAGGTCACCACAGTTAAATCTTGCTTCACAGGTGTTGTCCTATGCTTTGTGAGGTGGTTTGAATAAGAAATGGCCCTGTAGGCTCATGGATTTGAACCCTTGCTTACAAGTGGGTGGTAACTGTTTGGGAAGGGAATAGACTCTTTAGGACTTGGAGCCTTGCTGGGGGTGGGCCTTGAGGGATTGTAGTCTTGCCTCATTTCCTGCACACTCTCTGCTTTCTGTGAGGGGGTAAAATGCACAGAGCCAACTTCCTCCTCCTGCTGGCGTGCCATGCTTTCCGCCGTCGTAGACTCTAACGCTCTGGAACCATAAGCCAAAGTCAACTCTGATGTTGCTTTTAGTTGCTATTTTTAATCGCAGCAACACACACACACAGACTTTACATTTTAAGGATTTTAAACATGTATTTATGTTTATTTGCCCCCCTCCCCGTGTGTATGGAAGTCAGATAAAGTGATGGGACTGATTCTCCCCTTCTACTCAGGGTGTAGACTTGGCCGAAGGCATCTTTATTCACTGAGTCATGTTGCCACCCCAATATTCTGTTTTCATCTTTCTAAAGCTGCAAATGAGACAAACTGAAGTGGAAACCTGTCGCCAAGCCCTGAATCACTCCTAGCAGGGGCTCTGTCCTTTGCAGCTTGCTTTCTTTTGATCTTGTGGCCTTGACCTACTGATGGGATGCTGTTTCCTAACTAATGAAGACGGATGTGCAGAATGGCATTTAGTGTTCTGGGTGCAGTGGTGTCCTCTTTTATGAAGAATTTTTTTCTATAGTCCATGCTTAAAGAAAGAGACCCAAGGCAGAGAAGGAAAATAGTTAATAAGGGAGGGGATGGTGTGTCCAGAATGTTGCAGTAGATAATGGAAAAAGAATCTCTGAGCTCATCTTGGATTCATCATGAGGTCTGATGAAGGAACCATTTGTGGTTATCGAGACTAGAAATCACTTCTCCCCAAACCACAGAAATCCTCACTCTCAAGCAAAGTGTGGGCTTCTGAGGTCCAGAGAGAAAGTCCAGAAGACATGATCAGGGTGTGGAAATGTTTCAGGACAGCACAGTTTTGATTTTGACAGAGGACTAAATATGAAGGCTCGCACAGACCTGCTGGATTCAGGTGAGAAGGCAGAGCTTTGCCCATGTGATCCAGTGGGATGTGGCTTGCAGAGTTCCAAGTTTGGTGTATTTCCTGGTTTGAAACTTGGATTTAGAGAGACTAGGAGAGGGAAACCTCTCCTCACACATGACTCTCGCTGCCGAGCCCAAGATGGCAGACTTGCTGTGTGTCTACCATGAATGTCCCATGGATAAAAACAGGACCGTCTGTAGTCGAAAGAAATTTCTGGCTTGATTCTGCAAGAGGGACCTTGCCAGGGGATGTTAAGGAGGCAGAGGCAGGGCAATGTACTAAGGGAAGAGAACTAGATCCCGGGGCTGTCTAACTTCCAGACTAACATGTCACGCGCCTGAGAGAGAAACTCAGAAGCAGGAGAGTAGGGAACTGCTCCTGTCCCTTTGCTGGCTGAGCTCTGGAAGTTGGCTGCCATTATGGGACGCTGAGAGGCTAGCTTGCCATAAGTATGTTGGCAGGAGTTTCTTTCCTTTTGAAAGCTGAAAATCGCTGCAGAATTGCAGTTTCCTGTTATTTTGGTCACAGCAGCCAGCTTGAATTTTGCCTTGTTTACACACAGCTCTGAAAAAGCTCTTTCACCAAGTAGCAGCCTAGGATATGACTGTTCGGTAACTTGTTAAATCCACTTAACTGATGGGATGGGGGTGCCAGAGCTGAGCACACCCACCTGATGCCCCCTCCTGTATTTATATAAGAAGGGGAAAGAATTAAAAAGGAAGAGATTTGAGAGTAGGGAGCAGAAGTCAAGAGGGAAAAGGAAAGGAGGAAGAAGCGGGTGTCTGGGAAGCAAAGGGCTGGTGAATCAGTGTGGGTTGGGGAAGGACAGGGAGGTGAGGATCCTGCAGGTAGGAGAGAGAGCACTCCCTCCCTCTGCTGTGCTACCGGCTTGCTTTCCTGGTAAATCGTGAACCCTCCTACTAGATGTTTATGCTGCTTAAATACAAGCATGCAGTTCCCAGAAGCAGGTGAATTGAAGGAAGCAATTTTAGAGGCATCATATGAAGATAGGATATACAACTTAGTCACGTAAAAGCATCTATTGTGGGTCTACTACAAGAAGTGAGGCAATCCTGATGCAGATAAGTAATGAGAGCAAGTCTCAGACCGACTGAATATAGGGCAGACACGATGGTAAGCACGCTAGTGTTAACACATTGCATCTATACAATGAGGCTGAAGACACAGTTCTGTGAGCAGCATGCCTTCCCAACACACAAAGCACTGATTGTGACCCCAGCTTTTCATGAACAGGGCACGGTGGCACACATCTGTAGTCCTAACACTCAGTCCACAGAGGCAGGGGGATCAGAATTTCAATGTCACCCTCCGTTGCACAGGGTCTGAGGTCAGTCTGCGCTACATGGGACCCTGCGTTAGTGACTTTCTTACTTCTGTCATAAAAGCAGTTTCAGAGAGGGCGTATTTATGTTGGCTGAGTTTCAGGGAGATTCTGCCCATTGTGGACAAGAAGACATAGCAGTAGATTGAAAAGGCATGGAGCAGGCTGGGAAGGCATAGCGGCAGGCTGGGAAGGCATGGAGCAGGCTGGGAAGGCATGGAGCAGGCTGGGAAGGCATGGAGCAGGCTGGGAAGGCATGGAGCAGGCTGGGAAGGCATGGAGCAGGCTGGGAAGGCATGGAGCAGGCTGGGAAGGCATGGAGCAGGCTGGGAAGGCATGGAGCAGGCTGGGAAGGCATAGCGGCAGAGGCAGGAGGCTGGCTGTCTAGTTGCATCTATACTCATGACTCATGTGGTGGGCAGGAAATGGACCTGAACTACAAGGCCTCAGGATCTGTCCTGTGTGGCTGACTTTTTCCAGCAAGGGTTCATTCATGTCCCAAAGCTTCCACAACCTTCTCAAACAGTGCCACTAGCCAGGGACCAAGTATTCAAACCCTTCACCTATGAGGAACATTTCACATTGGAACTAGACTCTCAAAAATAAAGTTAAATAAACTGACATGGAGCTATTCTCCTGCTTCTCAAAGGAAGCTAAGAGACTGTAGGAGATGAAGAGGAGCCCCAAGTCACTGCAGGAATCATGATTCCCACACTCATTGGAACTTGTGATCTAGATCAAAAAACAATGAACATACACAATGTTTCATCGAAGAGTCTGAGAAAAGACAGCTCAGCACTTGAGCGTCTACAGCTCTCACAGAGGACCTGAGTTCAGTTTCCAGCACCCAAGGCAGACAGCTCCCACCTGCCTGAAATGCCTGCTCCAGGAGGCCGGATGGATCTCTTATGGCCTCTGAGATACCCCGCCCCCAGCACATGCACGCGCACACACTAAAAACAAAACAACAACTTTACTAAATAAAACAAAATAAAAATAGGCAAGAATGAGAGTTTGGCACCCAAAAAGCACGTGGTGTGAAGTTTGGGAGGAAAATGGATGAAGACTCCAGGACAAATAGAGCCCGGAGCAAGGCTGAAGGACGGCTTCCATTCCCGTGGCCCTGGCAGGTGAGAGCAGGCCAGCTGGAGCCCAGCATCTGCAGAGGCGAGGAAGTGGCATTGTGCTTGGGGCACAGACAGGGAGGAGCCAGACCTGCAGCAGGGTGGGGTTTTGGTGGAAAAAGCAGAAAATCAGAGTTGAAATCTGTGCTACACCGGGGTGAGGAGGACCTCACAGGTGAGGTCAGTGCAGTTGGGGTGAATCTGGGGACAGTCAAGTAGCACTTGTAGGCAGAGACATTAGGACTGCGCCACTAGCCATGCCCACTTTGGGCGTGGCTAGAGGCGCGAACGGAGGTGGTAATAAAAGGCGGCACAGGAGAAATGCACACTCTCTTTTGGGCTTCCGGTCCTTTAGCTTCCTGCTGACTCACCTTGGTTGCCAGTTTTCTCTTGTAAGTAATCACTACAATAAATAGTTACCTATACCTCATCAAGTATGATTTATCGTTACAAGCACTGGTGGCTTTGATCACACGAGAGTTTAGACATCTGAGACAGAGGCTTCGTGCACGCTGGAATGGAATGGGTGTGGTCTCGGGGTCCCTGTAGGACCCTGCTCTTTAGACTTTAAACTTCACTTGTGGGGAGCAGCACATCTTGTATTTTGGTTTAGTTACAAACCTTTTTTTTTCTTTTTTTTTTTAACAGGGTCTTGTTACCCATGTTATTAGGGTCAGTTCCTGGACCTTTGCAGCCCTAAAATGCCACATCTGCCACCCATCCTCCCAGCAGGAAGAACTGAGAGGTCTACCCGCCTCTGCCAAGTTCCCCTTCAGGGTCTCTCTAGGAGGTTTGGGTTTAAACACAGAGCCAGAAGTTAGCAGGCATAGGGGAGCAGTCCTGGCTGGCCAAGCTGGGTTCCTGCCATTGTTGTCCCAAAGTTGTCTGGAATTCCTGGGGATACCCCAGTTACTTAGAGTCCATCATTTCAATGGTCCCATGGTCAAACGGAGGGCACAGTGACTCTTTAGATGATCATGTCATTCCTTCTAGGGCAGTTGCAATGTCACATGACCCAGGTTAGCCTCCAACTTCCCTGAGGGTGACTTAGAACTTCTGCTCCTCCGGCTTCTGCCTCCCAAGTACTGAGATTCTTCACCGCCACGCCCAGTTTATGTGGTCCAGCCTAGGGCTTCACAGATGCTAAGCCAGCACCTACCCAACTGAGCTACATCCTGAATCCTAGAAGTCTAATTTTATATCCAATATGTTTAGTGCCATATCTTCTCTATTCTATTCATTACAATTGCTGCTAGTTACCAAATACATTGGTTTTGGCTTGGCTTTCAGGGTTACCTAGACATAACATCTGAGTAGGGTAGACAAGGGAAGGAGCTCAGTGAGGAGCAGGGGGAAGTGTACATTGGGACATGTGCTAGGAAAATGTAATGTCCCATGGCAGATGATTTAATCAGGCCTGGCTTAGGGCATTACTCCACAGTGCAGGCCTAGAGCTGGCAGCATGGTATGCTCTGATTTTACCAAAGGTTTCAGTTGGTACTAAAACTTTTAGTTTGGACCTTGGCAGGATGAGCAAGCTGGACTAGGCCACCTGTCCTCAAAATGTCAAATAATGACAGTAGAGAGAAGTAGAGAAAGGTGATCTATTCACTGTGGCCATGTTAGGAAGAAGGACAAATACCCTCCAAGTCCACCTTCCGGTCCCCAAATGAAGTTTGTCTTCAGAGGATAAGAGATGTGAGCAACTGAGCAGTCTTGGTCAGTATGTGCACCCACCATGACTGACCCATCACTGTCTGGGTCCCAGTCTGTCTATCAAGGTGGTTTGACAAGCTGTTGTAACTATATAGAACTTTCTTGTGGAGGTGGCTTGCTCCCCAATGACACCTTTTCCTTCCTTCTGTCAGCATGAGATCCCTGAGGGAATTCTAATTCCTTGGGGTCCATTGTTTCCACAGCTTGATGAACAAAGGGAGGGGTGAGCCTATTTGTCTTTAGAATCTCTTCCCTCCTGCCAGATCTGGTAAGTGGGAGCTACCTAACAAGTACTGCTGAGGGCCCAATGTAATCCAACCCTGATCCTGCTGTCTATAGATCCCCAGTGTTGGCCCTGCCATCCACAGATGCCCAGTGCTGACCCTGCCATCCACAGATGCCCAGTGCTGACCCTGCCATCCACAGATGCCCAATGCTGACCCTGCCATAAACAGATCCCCAGTGTTGGCCCTGCCATACACAGATGCCCAGTGCTGACCCTGCCGTCTATAGATCCCCAGTGCTGACCCTGAAGTCTATAGATCTCTAGTGCTGACCCTGAAGTCTATAGATCTCCAGTGTTTGCACAATATGAAAAGAGTCTACTTTAGCAGAAAGAATTGAGTCAAAGGTCATTTTTGGTTTGAAACTGATTTCCCAACACAAAGAAAGGGAAGTTGGAGAAGAAAGAATTGGTTTGGATGACGAGATGGCTAATTTGTTTTTAGGCAGGCTGACTATAAAGAGGCTTAGACTATTGAAGTGGGAAAGGAACCATTGACAAAGATCAGTTTGCTTAGCCTGACTTCAGGCAAATTACCAGAGTCAGCACTTTCTTGTAAGATCTTCGTTGGGGGCCTATGAGACGGCTCAGCAGGTAAAGGCACTTTCTACCAAGCTGAAGACCTGAGTTTGACCCCACATGGTGGGAAGAGAGAACTGGCTAATCAGTGTTGTTCTCTGACCTCCACTGGTGCATTCATACACACGATAAATGAATAAATAAAACATGGCAATAGATCAGTAGAGCAGCCCATCCTCAAGGCCAGGGATGTTGGATTAACTATGCACATGATCTCTTCATCCTTCAACATCACCTGGCAATGGCAATAGATCAGTAGAGCAGCCCATCCTCAAGGCCAGGGATGTTGGATTAACTATGCACATGATCTCTTCATCCTTCAACATCACCTGGCAATGGCAATAGATCAGTAGAGCAGCCCATCCTCAAGGCCAGGGATGTTGGATTAACTATGCACATGATCTCTTCATCCTTCAACATCACCTGGCAGACAATGCCTGATCACCCCGTCTGTCCTCAGCAAAACTCCCCATCCTTTCTCCTTGCTGTTTCCTCTTAGTAATTTCCTATCCACTGCCCCACACCCTGCTTGCTCCTTGACCTACAGTCTCTCATGTGCTGCACTGTCTGGAGTTGAACCTGGGCCTGTATTGAGGCCTCCTTTCTCCATTCTACAGTAGTACCGAGTAAACTCTGCCAAACATTGTCTTCCCTTTGCTACTGTATGGTAGGTGGAAATCCCAAGACTGCTAAGCCCCACAGAGCCAAGCCCCTCTGTACCGGTGAGAAGCCTGCTCTGCAGGCCTCAAGTGGAACCCTGATCATGTAATCACGAGGCTCTGCGAGCTAGACTGTGGCTTGTTTCTGGCCAAGACCCCAGGCTCTCTAGATGTGGGTCCTTTGATCAGACTTATGGGACCCAGGTCCATCAGAGTTGGCTCTGCAGGCCATGTGTTCCAGGAGTATCAGGGCTCAGCGCTGAAGGTACTGTGACCTGCTGGCTACATGTTTCCTAGCAGCTGATGCCTTTAAATAAACTTGCTCAGACATCCTAGGAGAACTGTGTGCCGTGGGACTTTCAGAATAGCTTTAGGAGGGTGTGTGGACCAAACACGGGCCTGACTTTTAAAAGTCTTGAATTAAAAACTTTGCATGAATACAAGGGACTGTATCATATGCAAAACTTCTCCCTTATACATCTCAAAAACAAAATAAACCTGGGCGTTGGTGACGCATGCCTTTAATCCCAGCACTTGGGAGGCAGAGGAACGTGGATATCTGTGAGTTTGAGGTTAGTCTGGTCTATAGAACAAGTTCCAGGACAGCCTCCAAAACAATACAGAGAAACCCTGTCTCAAAAAAAACCCAAAATTAATAGTAATAATAATAATAATAAACAAAAAAAACAGAGTCATTTGTAAAGAGAACGGCAATGCGATTGGAATATGCAAGTATTAATTTCACCGGAGTTTGTGTCTCAGCAGCCATTAAAGAAGTGATTGGCAGGGTGGTGCAGAGTAAGGCAGAGGCCTTTTGAAGCTGACCTCCATCAGACAAAGCTGTAGCTTAGTAGCAAACTCCATTTAGACATAGGAGGAGTGAGTACTGTACTGCTTCCTTCGGGGGGGGGGGGGGGTCTCCTGCACAGACCCAGCCTCCCATATTAGTCCTCAAAACCTAACCAGAGTTCAATGCTATGACACAGACTGGGTTGCCAGAATGCAGAGCCCAGGAGTAATCTACTCAGTCAACAGCATCCATTAAATGCTATTTTTTCCCAAATCTATGGCTGTCTTTGTTCTAAGCTCTGGAGATGGAGGGAAACAAAACGGAAGGAGAACCCAGTCTTTGTTTGACGCACAGTAGGCAGTTAAGTTATTAGTAATATAGATGGGTGGACCATAGGACTGGGAACAGCGGATGGGGCAGGGATGACAATTTTAAAGTTGCTATTCGCATCTGCTTTAGTTATCTATTTTGTGCAGGACTGGGGGAGTGGGAACATGGGTACCTCTGATGGGAATTGGTTCTCCTCTCCCACCATGTGGGTCCCAGGTATCGAACTTGGGTCTTCCAGCTTGGCAACAGCGCCTTTTCCTTCTGGGTCATCTCTAGTGGCCTCTAGGGAATTGCAATTTAAAATAGGGTAAAAACGGGAAGATACAGGTGGAAAAGTGGCACTTGATTGAGAATTGATGGTGGGGAGTTGGGTGTGCAGCTCAGTTAGTCATGTGCTCGCCTTGAAGCATGAAGCCCTGGGCTGAACCTCTAGCATGGCGGAAAGATCAGAAGCTCTAGACTTCACAGTGAGTTCTTGGACAGCTCGAGACACATGAGATCTTGCCTTTGAAAAAGTGGTTTGGCAGCCAGCCAGATACAGGAAGATTTTAGACAAAGAGCCCCTAGAGCAAAGGCCCAGGGGTGAAACACACCTTGGCATTCTTGAAATGGCAGCCATGGACGTGAAGGGGCAGACATGAGGTCCAGGAAGCTGCTGCACTCCGGGGAACAGGACAGGAGCAGGGTTGATAGCAAGTGGATAAGAACAGAGTTTGGACAGAGCACAGGGTAAGGAAAGGCTTGGTGCTAGCTAGCAATTGGGTACAAAGCTCTCAGCAGTCTGTTCAAATTGCCTTCAGCCTCTCCAAGTATCTTAGAGTTAGACAGTTGTTCACATGGTGCCTTTTTTACCCGTAACTGTCCCCACAGCACAGGAAAAAAGCAAGAAGGAACTAGCTGGCCGAGACGCCTGCTTCGAGCCACATAGCAAGAACATTAAAGTCAGAAATTAAACACAGGTTATTCCCCTACGCCTTGTGTCTCTGACTCTGTGCCCAACCCCAGCCTGCCTCCCTCCACCTCATATCATTTCTCTTGACCCATGCCTAAAATGTTATGTTCAGCCTGTGTCAAACATATATAGTCTTAGTCAAAACCAAGTCCACTGTGGTGACACGAGCTTGTAAGGGATGGACAGCTGCATAATAGCCAAAGCCTCACTATGTAACCCAGGCTGGCCTCCAGCTCACATTCCTGCCTCAGTGTTCGAGGTGCTGGGGTTACAGGTCTGTGCCACCATACCTCATAAGAATTTCCTGAACATTTCATTGCTGTATACATGACATGCAAATACACATGAAACAATGCTAACTAATACATGTTTAAAATTCGGTTAATAAAAACTCCTGCTCTAAATTCAAGATTATGATTTTCTGCAGGATATAGACTATGAATTATTGGAAAACCCTTAACCGATATATTATTTTACTTCTGCTTTCCTTTCACCTCCCTTTATGTCAGTATGCTTAATAAGATATGCCCTACCACAGCCCCGTTCCAGATGGGACAGGCAATCCAAACGCTCCATCCTGCATACCAAAACTTGCAGGAAAAGACCGGGAAGAAGGCAAGGACTCCTGAGAAGACGCTGAGGCTCCCTAGAGCAAGCAGGGTCCAGCCAGCAGCCTGGTAGAGGCCCTTCATCTTCCTCTGTGACTTGAGTCTTTGCTCTGAGACAGTTTGCTACCAAAACACAGGGTAAGCCAGGCCTCTGCAAACATCAGTTTCTTAGAGACTGTAGCTGCGTTGTCTGCAAACATGGGCAACAGAATCCTGCAGACAATAGCCATTGTTTTTCCAAAGGTGAGAGGAAGGAATGATAGATCCCTGGGTGTAAGTCAGACACGATAAACTCTAGCACAGTCATTTTTCAGAGTGCGCTGGGCGTGGGTGGTGGGGACGACACCACACACGATGACAACGACTGATTGCTCATTTCAGAGCGGCTGCCTTCACTCCCTTCATCTGCTGTGTCCTGGGGAGTGACCACTTCCTGACTTAATCAGATTCAAAGGCTCACTGACTGAGCTAATTGTTTCTGAACTCAACCTGCCTGGTGGTTACAGCATAAAGCCAACATCCTTTGTGTACAATAGGGCCACATTCCCAGCAAAAGTTCCCACAAAACAGGGCAAGAATCACACACGCCAATCACTTTCCACTTTTCGTTATATTTAATTTAAATGGTTTGAGCAAACACGTCTTTCCTTTCCAAGTCTAATTCCATACAATTCTTTATTATTATTATTTTAGACAAGGGCTGGGAGTACTCCCTATGGAGACCAGGTTGTCCCTGAATTTGGGGATCTTCCTGCCTCTGTCTCCCAAGAGCTGATATTACAGGAATTATGCTCAACTGTTTACAATTACATTTATTGGTGCTGGAGAAGTGGTTTATTGGTTAAGAGTATGACTGCTCTTCCAGAGGAACTGGGTTCTATTCCCACTATCCATTTGCTGGCTCACAACTGTCCATACTCCAGTCTCAGGGGATTTGACACCCTCTTCTGGCGTCCTTGGGCATCAAACATACATGTGGTGTACACACATACATGCAGGCAAAATAGCCATACACATGAATTACATTTTAAAGTAATTACATTTATTCTCTCTCTCTCTCTCTCTCTCTCTCTCTCTCTCTCTCTCTCTCTCTCTCTCTCTCTCTCTCTCTCTCTCTCTCTCTGTGTGTGTGTGTGTGTGTGTGTGTGTGTGTGTGTGTGTGTGTGTGTAAGGGGGTGCTCATGTCTTTGTATGACAACTTGCAGAAATCAGTTCTCTTCTTCCTCCATATTTGGCCCAGGGATCAAGCTTAGGTCTTCCGGTGTGGAGACAAGTGCTGTCTCATCAGCCCAGAACATGGGTTTGAAGTCAGGCAGGGTGGGGGCCTGATTCTGGCTTCACCCTCCACTGGGTTTGTGTCCTAGAGGAAGAACAAGCTAATTCTGGGTCTGTTTCTTCCTTAGAGAAGCAGGAGAGCCTACTGTTTATCTCACCAGGTAGCTGGGCGAGAGTGCCAGTTGAGCTCACATGTGTAGATGCTTAGGGCATGCCAGCTCTGCATAGGGCACATCCTGAGATCACCCTTCTTCGAGGTTCCTGTGACATGGCTCAGACATTGATTCTGTTGTTTGTCACCTTGGGGACATTAGGCTGATCTCTTCTGATCAGTTTAATAAAGATCCCCGAAGGGACCTCCCACATACTGGAAAAAGGACACCTCTCACCAGTTCTCTGCATTTTTCCCCGTTCTGTCTTCTGATCTATAATAGCCATTCCTCGAGTTGACCCAGATTTCAAAGCAATCGCATCGCAGCTACACAGAATCCGGGAAAGCTGCTCAGACTGCCTGGCATGGCCGCTGTGCCCTGGGTCCTCTCAATGCTGTGGAATAGATCCTCGAATTACTTTCTTTCTGCATGAACTAGAGAAGTTCCTGAAGGCCAGAGAACTTGCGAGTCTTCTGCATTCAGGAAATATGTATGACCTCTCAGCAGCTTAAGACTGGCCTCTGACAGTTTAAGACTGTGTCTATGAAGCAAATCCACACTAGCAAATACTTGCTGAATTAATTCACGGAGATGCTAGCCTGTCCAGTCTGCATTTGGGGCCCAGGGAGCTGAACAAGGGTGAGTGTATGTGAGTTCAAGTTCACTAGAGCTCACACCAAGGCCAGTTTGTTCCCTCATGCCTGGGGAAAGGGTCTTGGGGAACGACAGATTTCTCTGCATTTGTATTTGGCTGAGCTGTTTTGACTTTACTTCTTATCTCAAGATTACAGCTCTGTGGTGTGTTTTCTTGCACACTCCAGGTCAGCTCAGTCTCTGCTGTTTGCACGTTCAGAAAATAGACTGCTAAAATCCCCAAGTTTAACAGTACACAGTGCAAAGGATGCCAAACAAAGACAATGGTTTGTTTTTATTTGGGGAGATTTTAAGTGCCTGTAGCATTCTGGATTAGGGTAGATGTTGTCCTTACAACTCTTAGTGGTTCAAAAGCATTCCCACCAAATATGATCCAGTGATGAATCGAGATGGAACTAGGGACATCTCCCTCTGTGATTTTCAGAGAGGCTGAGTTCATGTTAACTGTTAAAGCAAGAACATCTTTCAGGGAGAACAGAAGTAAGTGTGCACCTGTTGCCAGCTTCCACTCTATCAGCCAGGGCTCTGTACCTAGGCACTGGCAGCTACCACCACCGGGGAGCCCTTTTTATTGGCAGCAATTTTCTAGACCAGGAATTCTGTAAATTCTTCCAGAAGGCGGCAGAGTCAAAGTCTTTGCACACCTTCCCTTCTCTCCAATCCAAAGAAACTCCAAGATCTTGTCTCAAAGAATGGTTGAGGCTCCACCAACATGTCAATCCTACTCTGTCACTAAAGATAAAAACACAACAAACAAGCAAACAAAATCAAACCAAAGCAATGTTGGGTGTCCAATGCCTGCAATCCCAGCACTTGGGAAACTGAGGCTGGAGGATCAGTACTTCAATATCAGCTTGGACTACACAGCAAATCTCTATCTCAGCCACTCACACAAACAAAATGAAATAAAACAAACAGAAAAGTCATCCTAAGCCAACATTTGAATCCAGCTCCCTCCTGCATACTGCATACAATCAAGCAAGGAATTCCAGACTCACAGAGCAGGGATGATGTCATAGATGCTGAGGGGGATGCTGACTCCATCAACCTGTGTCTTTTTAAGTACATTCCTTCACATGTGACCCCTATGAATAACAGCCCTGTGGTGCTAGAGTTTTAGTGTTTAAAAAGCTTTAAAATTACAGGAGAGATCCATTTATATGAAAAAGAAAAACGAAAGAGAATGGGGCTTCCAAAGACAGACATACTTAAATGTATTTTCCTAGTAGTTCCAGATAGCTGTCTTATTTTTACAATTGAAGGGTGGTCACCAATATAGGAGATAGAGCACACACTCTGGTGTCAGAAAGGCCTGAGTTTGCTGGCTTGGTGGCACATGTCTATAATCCCAGGGCAGATAGAGTTGGAGGATCTGGAATTCAAGGTTACCCTTCACTAGCAACAAGTTAGGAACCAGCTCCACGAGGCCATGCGGGTGGCAGTGATAGAGAGATGACCCAATAGATAAAGTGCTTGCTGTTCATTGAAGATCAGGATTACAATCCCCAGAACCTATGTGTATGAGTGGGGGGGGGGGAATTAGTGTGTTGTGAGTGTGTGTGTGTGTGTGTGTGTGTGTGTGTGATCCCGATATTCACTAGGCCAGATGCGGTGTATAGAGACAAGAGATGAGTATAACAGTATTTCCTGGAGTCTGTCAGGTCAGCTAGCTCAGCTTACTCAATGGTAAGGACCCAGCCTCAGAATGGAAGCTTGAGGTAGACTCCTGACTTGTCATTCTACAACCACATGTATGTCATATCTGTGTTCTTTCTCTCTCTCTCTCTCTCTCTCTCTCTCTCTCTCTCTCTCTCTCTCTCTCAAGAAAGGACCCTAATTTAGATTCCTTCTAATATGTAAAAACATACCAAAATTTAAAAAAATAACACTGGTGACACAGTGTAGTAACCGAGTCCAGCAGAGGTCATGGATGGGTATTGAAGGGAGAGAATGGTGGTGTAGTATATGTCCATTGCCATCGTAACAAGTGATCAAACTATGACCTGTAACAGGACAAACTGATACCATTGCCTCCTAATATCACAGAATGGCCTGCACAGGGTCACCTGTGTAGCATTGGTGCAAGAATATCTCAATGGACTCTAATAAAAAAGAAACAATTAGATAAATTCAGGTACTAGAGACATTTTATAAATGTCTGCACTCTTCAACATTATTTTAATATTTAAGTCATGAAAAAGAACAAGAAGGATGCTAGGACAGTTCTGGAGGTTTGAAAATTTCAACTTAGAAATCGAGTGTGCCGGCTCCGTGAGCTTTGACGGCTCAGTGAGTTTTGATGGTGTTGACTGGTGGTGCAGGGACACACAGTTCCTGAGCATCCTTCACAGCCAGCCAAAGCCTGATCTCTAGTCTAACACACAGTTCCTGTGAACCCTTCAGCAGCCAGCCAAAGCCTGATCTCTAGTCTAACACACAGTTCCTGAGCATCCTTCACAGCCAGCCAAAGCCTGATCTCTAGTCTAACCTGGAGGCTGCATGCCAGGCTGCACTGTGGAGGTTCACCTCATGCTTAGAAGAACCTTTCCGTAGACGTCTGCTCCTTTCAAAGAGCCTGTTTCTCAACCCATGTAAGCCTTCCCAGTGTCCACGAACAGCTTTTTCTGCTTGTTCAGTTTCAACTCTGAGTAAGCTCTCTTTTCTCATAAGGACCCCGGGCTGACAGAGGGCAAAGTTCAATGTTTATTATCCTTAAGTCAAATTTCAATTTTAAACCCTCCAATCTGCAAGGTATTTGGAACTACTTAGAGATTGTTGCACCAACCTATACTTAGCCTAATTCCGGCTGTATCTGCTTTCGGTATACCTCCCCCAAAGCGTGTTTTGAAGTCATCTGGAATCTATCAGCCTTTCCCCGTTTTTTGGGGGGGGTTGGGGGCAAGACAACTTGATTGTCACCAGTAAACTTGTACAGCTAGTCATCTGCATCAGCCCAGGTTTTTCAGCTCTGCTAGCAGCCTCCCTCAGGCCACTATAGGCGCTGTCCTCTGCAAGGCCTCTCCTATCTTGTC